CAAGTCTGAAATACATGTTTCATGGAGGCTCAATGTAATTTATATTTATTTTACAAGGTCATAGAAAATGGGTCGGTATAATCTCACAGAGGCATATGATAACCCAGAAGAGAAGCAAATGGATCTGGGCCCTGGAGATTGGTTTTGTGAAAGGAAAGGCCAGAATACTAATGGATCATTTACTGGGTGGTTAAGCTTTCAGAAACAAGATAGCTCTGTACAAATACACTGGGATTGATTTAGATTTATTCACCCACCACTGAGGCAGTTGAAAAGGATACAAGCACACCAAATCTTTACATTGCCCATTCTTTGGTACTTTGTGGCACATGTTATCCTAAAGAGTTGGATTTCTTGTCTTAATGTTATAATTATGTCACTTTCCTACTCCTACGGCTTAGAAGTCTCTAACCATTGGGAAACCTCAAAATCATCTGGAGAACTTCTTATAACAGATTTCTATGTTTCCCTTCTTCTCAAAGATTCTAATTTCATAAGGATGAATTGTGACTGGAGAATTATATTCCTAAAACCTTGCCAGATAATGCTGGGAGGAGGGGTGATATGTATAGAAGAGATATTAGTGTAGCAAGTTATGAGGTAGTTTTTATTAAAGTACAGTGTCAAATGGTTTATTTTAATCTGATTTCTCTATGATCATAATTCTGTTTTGTTTTGTTTTTCACAGTACTGGAGATTGAACTCAGGGCCCTCACACTGAGCTACATCCATAGGTATTTTAATTTTGAGGCAGGGTCTCCCTAAGTCACTGAGTTGCCCAGGCTAGGTTTGAATTTAAGATCCTCCTACCCGAGCCACGCAGAGTGCTGGGATTACAGGCATGCTCCACCATGCCTGGTATAATATTCTTATGATATCAATACACCTTGCTGGAGTACTAATAATGCTCAGGAATAGCCAATAATTTGAGATTTATTTTTATGAAAAGTAATATTTAGAAACAATTTTTCAAATCCAGTAATACTATGAAGACTGTAATGTTAACCAGCAATCTCCTTGCCCTTTTCCATACTGGGAATATGAGATGCTTGGGGAACTATGTGAATCTTTTATCTTTATTCTGTTATATGCCTCCATATTTGTAGATTATGTATATATTACTGTTATAATTTAATGTTTAGCCATTTTGGATCTATCTACTGATTTCCTATAATTTGCAATGTTTATTTAACTAGTTTAGAACTCCCTGTGTCTCAACTTCCAGGATAACGATAGCATGAATTTTTGTTTAACCTTTATTTGGGTTAAATTATTCATACCCAAATAAAATAGTGGACTATAGTTGCCCTTTCTTTCTTGTATTTTTTCTTCTAATCTTACTAATTGAACAATTTTCATTTCCTTAGTTTTAATATGTATCAATAATTCCTTTTAATCATTTTGAAAGAACTCTCTCAGTGTAGTTTTGAAGCAATACTATCTACCTTTTTATTGTTTTGTTTATTTATTTTCTTTTTATAGACACCATTTCTGAAGCTACATTCAATCCTACTTGTATAATCAGAACTGCTGCCATTTTGTCCAGCTACCTGAATTCAATATCTTCCCTCTCTCCTCCACCCCAGTGTTTTTTTGTGTATTGTTTTGTTTTTTGGTTTTCAATTTATTAACAGGGTTTCTTCGACCTCAACTTTTCAAGAGCTTGTTTGTATTATTTAAATTCTTCTTCCTCTTTCAATTTCTATTTCTAAGGAAATACTTTTCTTAAAGCTTTTTTGGGAAATCTTTTTGAAGTTTTCTGCCCTGTAAATTTCTTGTTTCCTTTTATCTTTCTTTTCTTTTGGTCTCTTAATTTTATGTTGAAAGTCCTTTCAAATGCCTAGTAATCCTTGGCTGCCTATTAATACTTATGAGTAAAGTACATGTGTACATAGTTACTAAGTGTGCATGAGGAGCCAGTACCATAGCTCTTACTTTTGATTTTAATTCTCCAGATGGGAATTTCTCTGTCTTTTGTCTAATCATGCAAGTTGCAGGCTGGCAGCTTTCTAGAAGTCTGGTGAAGGAAGACAGTTTCATTAATCATGTTTGATACATAGACTGTCACAAAACCCTAATTTTCAGTACAGCTTGGCAGTCTTATGTTCAACTGTTTCTGACAACCCAAGCACATACTTTTCTCAACCTCCAGTCTTCTGTGGGTGAAGGGTATAGTGGATGACCCTCAAAATCACCTCATTAGAGCAAAGAACAAATCCAGGAGAGTCCAGCTTCCTCTTATAAAAAACACTGTTTCTTTTACCTTTTTAGCCTCATCTTCAGAAATACCTAATGTCTCAAATTCTTTAGTATTTTCAAAATTCAGTTCAAAAAAATATCTGGTGTTTTCTCTGTATTTCTCAGCTACTTACAGGAAGTTTATGTCAATTCTGCTTTTGTGATGCATCAAACATTTTATTGTCATTTTCAGTTAGGTTTTTTTTTTTTTTTTGGTTTTGAAACTAGCGATTTTTTTGTTTAAACCATCTCATTTATTTTTTTTTCTTAAATTCTTTTATTGGTACATTTTAGATATACAATACATTTACATTTATCTTTGGGTGCTTGTACCTGTACATGATGTATCTTGGTTCTTATTTTTTCCCCATTACCTGTGTGCCCTTCACCCCTAAACCCTTCCCTATTTACATACTTCATTTCCATTTTTTTCTTTTCTCATAATTTTTCCTTTCCATTCTTTCCTTTCCCTTTCCCCTCCCACCTAGAGATCTAAGTGGATTAAAGATATAAATATTAAGACAGAAACACTAAACTTGCTGGAAGATAAGTTAGGTAGAACTCTTGAAGATATTGGCATAGAAAAAGACTTTATGAGGAAAACCTCAGTAGCACGGGAACTAGCAGAAAGAATCAACAACTGGGATTTCATCTTATTGAAAAGCTTCTGCACTGCAAGAGAAACCACCAACAGAGCTAACAGACAACCTCCAATGTGGGAAAAAAATTTTAGCTGCTGTAACTCAGACAAAGGCCTACTATCTAGAATATATAAAGAACTGAAAAAAATCAGATCCCCCAAATTCAAACACCCAATTCAAAAATGGGCATCTGAAATGAACAGACATTTCTCAGACAAAGAAGTAAAAGCAGCAAATAAACATATGAAAAAATGTTCAGTTAGTTTTTGAAGAAAGCAAATATCAGCATTTGTGTTCATTGTACCTTGTTTTAGTAGTTGCTGAAAATTCTGTACCTTAAACATATCAAAATAGAGGAAATAGAGTATGTGGTAATGAAAGAGATTTTGAAATGTACAAGAATACTTCCACATTTTTATCAGAAGCTGTTAATTTGAAAGTCATATTTATAAATTGGTTTTATCTGTATCAGTGTTGGACATTTTTATTAGTGCTCAGTATTTACCCGTGTAAATGAATCGTTGACAGCTGAGGAAAAAATTAGGTTGTACTCTTTAAAATTACTTCATTGTACATTTCTCACTGATTTTGAAAAATTTCTAAAATCAAAAAGTAGCTGATTTTTTAAAATATTTGCTATATATCCTCCAAATTATTTTTTAAAATTTTCTTCTGTTTTCACTACATTAATTTGTTTTTCCATATCTTTCATCTTCCTTTTAAAATTTCTCATTACTCTTAATATTTTATATAAAACTACCATAATTTTTGTATGTTTGTCTTTCTGTTGGGTCTCCTTCACCCTGGGGTTGGTTGCCATTATAATGAGCCACAAAATTAAAAAAATACGTAAATATTCAAGGGGTTTGGAAAATATTTTGTATGATTTTTAACTACTTTTTAAAATATATCCCCCATTTTCATCATTTTATAAAAAGGACCCATTGTAAGCTATAAAGATGGGCTAAAGGTAAATAATTTTATAAGCGTAATGAATTTGTTGTCTAAAACTAGGAAATACGGCATTTTATTTGCTTTGGGAAACTTTGCATAATAATACTCCACTAAAATTATTAATGTTTTGACTATATTCACTTTTTCTACTTTTAAAATTTTTCTTCCTTCTGTAGTTATATTATTTAATCTCCCTCCAAAATAAAAAAGAAATTTAAAAATATATAATATGGACATGAAAAAATTATTTTACATTACCTTGACTATCAATATTGTGAAGATAAATTTCATTCAAAATAATTTTTGTTTCTTGCTAACAAAAATAAACACTATGAAAAGGGATAGCTTCAGCAATTTATATAAAAATGATTTTCACATTGACATTGCAAAATATTAGGTTTGAGAAAAACATAAAATATGTGCTGTGAGTACAGCTGATGAATAGGTGATAATTTCAATTCTAAGTGTAAACATGCACTATATATTAGCAGAATACAGTGCTTCATTTAGATGGAATACAGTACTTAGTAGTTACTAAGACTGCAATTTCAGTCTTAACAAATTTGGCCCAAATCTTGACTTGCTCATTGTAGTTTAATTAATATTGAGTTCTCTAGGTCTCAGTTTAATTTACAGAAAAGTGGAGATTTACAAACCAATATACATATTAAACAAGCTTCTACACACAGGATATTTAACACAGTACTTGGCACATTATGAGCATTCAATGAATGGTTGGTAATATTATTCAAAAGCCATTCAAACATGTTTTATCAAAATGAAAGAAACTGTGTAACTTGCAAACAAAATAAATTTAAAACCAAAACTGTTAGTATTATCAATATTTATGTTTTGGGCAAATGGAAATAGCTTGAGTTTTATGCCAAGAAGCGATAAAACAGTGAATTACTAATTATTCTGGGTAAAATAAAATAAGAAATAGTAGGAGTTGTGGGAAAGGGCTGCTCTCATTTTAAAGGTTTAAAATAAGGATGTTAGAATGTGTGTTTATCTAGTCACTAGCAATAGTTTTCTTTCCACTATACTCAGAGGAATAATTTATTTAACATATATTCTTTGATTGCCTGTTATGTACCTGACTGTGTTTACCTACTATGCAAGAGGTTAAACCTCCTTTTTATGTTTGAATACTTTCCTTTTCCACAGACATTCCCACTGGGCCTGGGAGATGGGCAATTCTATTCATGGACAGATGGTTTGAGAAGAAAGGACTGGCATGACTATGAGAGCATTCAGAAAGAGGCTATGCGCTCAGGTATGAAGTTCAGTGTGAGCCAAAGTGCTACTTTACTTACTGCAGCATCTCATTTTCACTTGCAGTATCTTCAATCAGTATTTCTTCTGCACACTGTCTTCTGGAAATATTGGTGATCAAGTTTGGACAGAATTAAATGAGTTTAAATTTCAGAAAAAAACACAAATAATGAATATCCTTTCCAATATAAACTGCAGAAGAGGTCATTACAATTTTAGAAATTTATAATACTTTTTCCCAAATTCCTTCTCAGTAATTTCTGGGGATATATCAGTATTTATTAATGAGACACGACCTGGTAGCTATGTATTTTGAGCATGATTCAATTAGAGCTGAAGTGTACAACATTGCAAGGTGTCTAAAGGCTACTGCAATTGCTAGACAAGGCACATTATAAGGAGTACCACAATTTCTAGTCATTGGAAGAGGGTGCAGCAAGTGTGTAAATCACAGCAGCTGGGGACCTGAGGTTGGAAATACTTAGAAAATAAGTGGGTGGTTAAATGCAGTCAAGAAGGTCTGAACACATGCAAGAAGATTGTAGACTTGGGTTAGAATTAGAAAACAGAGTAATAGAAAAGAATTCATCACACTAGAAAGACTGAAAAATTAGGTTGTTGGAAACAAAGATGAAAAAGGGCATATAAATTGAAATCCAGGGAAAGTGAAAAACATATGCTAGGAAATCCATATTCTATTATTTGACCAGTGTAGCTCTTCTTTCATAGTGAGGATTTCACAGAGATAAAGCAGCTACTTTTTGGTGGAGACATTTTAACAGCACTGAGGCACTTTATCTGGGAAAACTCGACAACACAGCTATGGCTACCCACAGCCTGGGCTCTCTGGGCCAGCCTTCTTCCTAAGTCATCCTGCAGGAGAATCGGAACAAGGTGTTTTAATGGTCATGGAATTGCACATGGCTGTTATATATCAGGTATAACTGACTGATTTAGTCTTCTTTCATTTTATTCTCTCAAACCTTCTTTTTCCAAATAAATCTGACTGCTCCTCAATTTCATTAAAGCAGCTCATCCCAAAGATATTAAAAGAAGCAACATTTTCCAGCTTTCATTGTCTTTCTTTCTTGACCATGACTTCTTAAATCCTCCTGTCTTTTGCTTCTATTGGTGTGACCATCCCTATGTTAATCCAACTATCTCCTCCTCTTTATAACTTTAAGGTGCTGATATCTTTTGGACATGATAAAATAGCATTACCAACTGAACCTGCTGCAAATTATCAATAAAATAATGAATAATTTATTGGATGCATATTTTGTACTACATACAATTTAGACCTCAGAACAACTTTAGTAGATATTATTATCTTATTTTTTGTATAATATCCCATTGTTTTTGTAAAAAATAAAATTAAATTGAATCCCTAAAAATTTTTAAAATTTTATTCAAATTCAAGTAGCTGGTAATTTGTAGAGCTAAAGAGCCAGTTCTTATAATGCTATATTATACCCCACTGTCTAACATCAAAGAATATTTTCACAATACTGGGTAATGTTGAAGAGATATATCAGAGAGAGAGATTCTTGAATTCAAATCCTACCTTTTTATATTTGTTTTATCCTTCTGCCTCAGCCTCCCAGAGTGCTGGAATTATAACCATGTACCACTGTGCTCATAGGCAGAATAATTTATGTTTCTCATATTCATATGCAGAATTGCCCTAAAGAGCAAAGATAATATTTCTAAAATGATTGGGCAATTATTTGGTGAAATTATAAACTCAGCAAATTACATTAGTATTTATTAATTTGTCTAAATTACTTTCATATGAATGGGTGTGCCAATCTTTTGCTTGTACCAATAGGTTTTGGATACAAAGTCCATTACTTAATATTTCTTCTGCTTCATAACATCCTGTTGAACACATAGATAAACATGCATTTTATATTCTCATCCTCACTTGGACTGAAAGAAAACTGAAAAAGGAAATTGGTAATAATAAAATTTTTCAGTACAAATTTTTTGTTCAGTTTGGAAACTTATAAATGACTTTTACATGATTCCCTGAAAGATAAAAAAAAAGTAATAGATTAATTTATTTTTATATTGCATGCCATATCATAAACAAGTATTTTTAAACATACATACTTACACACATACATACACACACATACACACACGCACATATAGGAGCAGAGTCAAAAATTTTAATAAACCTGTGTATCACATACCCAGGCCAAGAAGAATCATTTGTGCTGTTGTATCCCCTCCAAGACTTAAGTTTTATTTTTAATTCCTTTTCTCCAGAGGAATTACCATCTATGTGTTCATCCCTCAAGATTGTTACATTTGCCTGTGTTTGAGCTTTCTCCAAAAATTGAGTCATATTTTATAAATTTATTCTTGAAGTCAAAATTACTTTTTAAGATTCATCCATGTCAATATATGCAAGTTTAGTTGATTCATTTCATTGTTTAAATTTCTATAAACTCCCCTCCTCTTGAGCATTTGGATACCTTCCAGGCTTGCACTATTCTATATAATACTATGGTAAGCTTCGCTGTGGCTTGTACTGGAGTGGAGATAATATTTTATTATGGTATTTAATAGTAGATTTGTATGTCAAGAAAATGTATTTTTCAACTTTATTTGACTATAATAAACTTTTCCAAAATTGGTCTAGAAATTTCATTTCAATCAATAAATGATAGAATTCCCATTACTCTACATCCCTGTCAACACTTAATATTATCTGAATACTTTCTCAAATTTAATGGTATTAAGTGATATCTCATTGTCATGCAAAATTTCATTTTACTAATTTTTTTTTCTTTTAGTACCAGTGATTGAACTCCAGTCCTTCCACTTGCAAGGCAAGCGGTGGAACCACTAATTTTAATGTGATTTATATTTTTAATGCCTATGTCCCATTTATTTCTTAATGTTTTGGTAAAATTCCAATTCATTTTTATTTAAATTTCCAAGGAGTTCATAATTGTATACTTAGATTTTTACATGTAAATCATAGAAAACTAATATTATTTTGTTTTATGCATTTTAACCTTATTTACACTACACATTGTAGCTGATATCTAGATATGCTACTATTTTTAATATTAATTTGAATTTTTAAAAATAGTATAAACTTTCCTATTAATTAAAATTACATAGATGGAGGTTATTTTGGGCTCCAAGTGTAGACTCACATAATATCTACAAATAATAGCATCATTTTAAAAATAGTTTTTCCATGTTTAACCTTATGATTTCAGTTCTTTTTGCTTTGTTTCTATGCATAGTAGGAGTGTCAGTGTAACATACAATAGTGAGCAATAATAGCTATACTTAACTTTTGCTGATTTTTACAATAGTAAATTTTATCTATCAAATATAAGTATACTTTACCATTTATTAACATCATGCAAATAAGTTTTACACTTTAATAATTACATTTAGTTTTCTGATCTTGGTTGTGAGTCTGTGAATTTTATTTTTTAAATATAACAAATTCATTGTTATCAAGTATTTTCTTTGCATTAATTAATATAGTTAATAATTTCCTCTTTAATATGTTATTTCTATAAAGTATTTGTTTCTTTCCTAATAGAAATAAAACTCTCCACCCTGAACTAAGTTTGTCTTTTCATTATCACTATATTTGGTTTGCTAGTATGTATTTTGTTTGACATTTTCAAATCTATGTTTATGAATGAATTTATTAATTGATATCATCCATGAATTTTTCTTTATTGTAGAATACTTGTCAAATATTGGTAATAAGGTAATGACAGCTTCATAAATTGACTTGATTAACATTGACTAGTTTTCTAAACTTAGTAATTGTTTCTTGCACATTATAATTAGTTGTTTATTGATAGTTACAGAAAGTTTTTGATGAAACTATGTTGACTTGAAAATTTTTCAGAGCAAAGATTTTTAAATAGTCATATGAAATAGTTATAGTATCAGTTAATTGTTTCTCTTGTGATTAATTGTAATTTTTTAGCAATGGGTCCATTATATCTGTATGTTCATAGTAATTAAATTCATTCATAATTTGTTCTTAAGATTTTTTTAATGTCTGCCATGTTTAATTTTATGTTACTTTTTTCCAGTACTATTCATTTATTGCTTAAAATTTTTTCTTAATCTATTCTATCAAAACTTCTCAATTTTATTATTAAAAAAACTTTTTTGACTTTGTTCTTTATATCCATAATATTTTTCTCATTGGTTTACCATTTACTCTTACGTCTTTTATTTTATTTCTTTTCATTGCTGTATTCTTTCTAAGATTTAAAAACACTTACACATCTGAATAACTTCAGCTTTTCTTCTATGGTAGGATAAGCATTCAGGTCTGTAAATTTCCTTGTGAGTATTAATTTATCTTCTCTGTGGCCTGGTAGATGAAATTTTACTAATCCTTATGGATTTATACAGCATAATAGGCAGAATGCATTTCATTAGATGTCTTGATAGTGCTTTAATGGTATTTATTTGTCCTGGTAATTAGTTTTATGGCATATTTGGCCAATGCTGAGTTATCAGATACTTTAAATATTTTCATAAGAAAGTAGTAAATGGTAAGCAATTAATAAATAGATGTTATGTGGGGGTACCTGTTACTGACCAACGCAGGTAGGTAATAAGTAAGTCTTGTTTGTAATTTAAGTAAATGAAAATTTATGGGATTCAAAAAATTGAAAAAGAGGCAAATGAAGACCCTAAAACCTTATGTCTAGTTTTGAGATTCTTTTCTAACATGCCTGTGCCCTTAGAACTTGATTTAATTATAAAAATTATTCAAATTAATAAAAAGAATTTTAAAGTTCAAAGAAATGTAGAGATTATATTAGCTCATAGACTTCATTGTTTCAGGCATGGCATAAATAAAACAAATTTACCTATAGACCAAGGGTATACAATACAGCTAGGTGACCCAAATTATAAAGAATAGTGTCAAATACTGAGAGTTAAGTTGCCCTTGTTTCCAATTAATTCCCTGAGTTATCTGAATTTCTATTCATCAGTTAT